AATTTGAATTATTTTGAGGAATAGAACTGCTTTCTGAATGACTTCCAGAAGGGCCAAGATCACCTTGCACAGAGGGAAACACTCTCTACCAGGAAGGAGTTTATGTTGAAAAATCATCTGCAAGCTGCCCTCCAGAGGGGAGGTGTCCCTGAATCCTGGAATTGTGGCTGAGAGCCTTCCAATAAAGAGTGGGGGGAAGCACAGCACAGCTTGGTCCCTCTGCACTGTGAGACCCTGAGGATTGGGCCTCACTCCTCTCTGTTCAATAGGAAAATTTTCAATAAGAAACCTTAAATCATGGAAATGAATTTATATATAAACTTTATAGGAGGGACTCAATGTTGTTGCATAGTGTTATCACAGCCATCAGTGTTCAAACCACTCCCTGGGAACCACAGAAGGTGCCTGAATGGGGCAGTGGTTAAGTGGTCGCTGATTATTGAATGGACAGCTGTTGGAAAATAAGAACTGCTCCTCAGGAGAAAGATGTGGGCGTCTGCTTCCGTGAAGATCTCAGCCTCCAAAACCCTGTGAGGATGGTGGACTCTGTCCCATAGGGTCCTGTAAGTTGCATTTGCTCATCAGCAACTGAGTTAATTGACATTATCAAATGAATTAAGCAGTCAACAACCTCCAGGCCTGAATCCATGGAATAGGCCAAGGAACAGGGGAGTCAGCAGAATTCCGATGACCTGATAAACAGGACAATCTGCCCCTGTGGCCTGAGCCTGGAAGAGTGGGCTGACCTGCTGTGGGGATGTGGAGGGCAGGAGTAGGCAGATCACATCCAGACTCAGATGGTCCCATTTCTTATCACATATTCCCAGACCTCAGGTTTTACAGATGAAGCAGTGTCTGTCTTAGTCTTCAGGGAGTGGTGGAACAGAATTACTGACATAAAGAGTTGGCTCTCAGAGAAAAACAAAGACTACAAGTAGTGAGCATGTTTATGAGTGTGTACGTGAGTCCCTGGGGTCCGCTCATGCCCAGGTAAGAAGAAACTATTAGGTCACTGTGACTGAAAATACCTTCTGGCCCTTGTGGAGATCATTGGAGACAACTACACCTGCCTCAAGAAGCCCCGGACACACAGGGTTAAACACCACCTGTAAATCAAAAGGTTTCAAACCCACCAGCCTTTCCGTGGGAGCTAGCTTTACAGAATTGGACACCCTGTGGGAAATTATACTCAGTCCTCTAGGGTGGCTATGAACCAGAATCAACTCAACTGCAACAGGTTATAGCTGATGTGTGTTGTTGTTGTTGTTATGTGCCATTGAGTCAGACCCAACTCATAGCGACCCCTCCTTGGGTTTCTGAGGCAGTATCGCTATGGAAGTAGGATTGCCCAACCTTCCTTTTGAGGAGTGGCTGGTGGGTTTGAACTGCCAGCTTTCTGGTTAGCAGCCAAGTGCCTTAGCCACTATGCTACCAGAGCTCCCAGCTGATGTTTAGACTGTGTTAAAATTATTGTCAGAGAATAGCAATTGGGGAGAATAGAAAATTGTGAATCCACTGATGATAAGGGATAAAGATTTACATGAGATTATGTTAAAGGCTAACCATGATGAACTTGCCGAGAAGAACAAGCCATCATGATGAAAAGGATAACGAAGAGTTGGTGAAAACTTTTACTTTGACGATGGTTCTCTTCCTTCTGTAGCAGTTGATAAGAAAACTAAGAATGGAGTCAGAACCTTGGAAAATGAAGGGTTCAGGTACTTGGGAAGAATTAAGAGTCATTGTTGGAGTCACTGTAAAGCACGGAATCCCGGACAGTGCATAAACATACAGCACTCTGTCGAGGTAATATTCAGGTCAGTTGTTCTTAATGAATAGTTATGGCCAAGGAAGCAGAGAGATGGACCGTGGGGCCCTCGGGTCATTCAGAAGAAGATTCCAGAAGAAATGGGTCTCCTCTCCTCCAACCCATGTTCACAGCTGTATGTGCCACTTGGGGCTGAATTCACCATGCTGACATGACGGGAATCAACAAAAGGTAAAGGTGGTTTGCTAGGTATATCAGAGATGAGATTAGGAATGACCCACAGCAGTGTCCTCGGCTTTCAGGCTGTCATTGGAACACACAGCGTGTTCTTGGCATTGTCTCTGGAAATGGTGAATTGGCCTTTCACAGCGTCTCCACGTGTCTTAGAATTTCCA